CTGGACCAGAGACGCAAGATGCCATTCAACACGCATGCCACTACCCTCACGAACGTTGCCAACGGTAGCGTTGTTCGTTTTGGAGGCGAAGACTACGAAGTTGTCGACGTTCCTGGTGATGGCAACTGCATCTTTCCCTGGTGTTCTCCCGACTCCAAGCCATGTGGACTTGAGACGTCGAGTTGTGGAAATGACGATGTCACCTCTATGGATTCCGGTGGTGCGTGACGTTTTGACGATGTTCTACGGGCCCAACTTTGACGTTGACACGTACCGTGCCAGTCTTGGTCGCGTTGGCTCCTGGGTTGGCGACTGCGAAATGTGCCTCGTGGCTATCCTCTTTGGCGTCAATATTACCTCCTTTGCCTGCGTGAAGGATGCAAACAACGTGAACAAAGCTGTTTCCGTCTTCTCTACTGCAACGACATTGTCCTCCATGAACCGTCCGTGGGCTTCGCACGCCTCGACGGAACTCTTCGTTCACTTTCATCAGTACGGAAGACCCTGCACCAACCAGCTATGGGTGTCATTGAATCATTTTTGCGCGCTTGTACCCAAGTTCGTCCAGTCCGACAAGACCGCCAGTCCGAGGACCGCCTTGATGCATTGAATCCACCAACAGCCACGCCATGTGCCACGACCACCAAGTCCAAGAACCGCCTTGAAGCATGGAATCCAGTCGACGACATGCTCACGGGTATCGCTGGCGCAATGTCATCCACGGCAAGCACCGTGCCTGCCATAAGGAGTGCAGAAACTACCAAGGCGAGCACTGCTGATGTCGACCAACTTGTAGCTATGGACGAAACCTTCATCATGTACACCGAACCATCATTCAATTTTCTTTAACTGATGTAACCCTTTTGTAGGTTTCACATGACGAACAAAATGCTGCTGGTTCCAACAGGAACGAAGCAAGTTGGGTCGGTCAACCCCATCGACGATGAAAAGAAGGGTGTTACTTTGGCTGTTGCTTGTGAGGTGTACTCTTCAATGCTGCTACCTCCATTCATTGTCGACACTGGGGAATTCGGTGCAAAGCTGATGGCATCACTACAAGAAAAGCGTTGTTGTCTTTAACGCTACCCACTGGATGACGCAGTATATCTTTACGATATTTCTGGCGTGGCTCAAGACACTCTTTAAAGGCGACAAGATCGGTATGGAACGTTTCAATTCGATATATTTCAAAGTCTAACGTAGGTGTTGTTGTTGATCATTCTCGAACGCACTATGGTGATGTCGTTGACACTTGGCTCAAATCCAAGGAAGGTCAAGACATCGTGGTCGAATTCATTGCGGAAGGAATGACATCGGTACAATAAGTTGGGGACATAGCCATCAATCGTCCGCTTAAGGCAATGATCCGAAGCAAATACAATTTGCTCCGATGGAAATCACGCGAGTCGCTGAGGCCTGGCGACGTATATCGGATTGATCGCGCAGAACTGGTTGGAATCATCGAAGACTCCTACGACGAGATGAACAAGGAAAACGTCAAGGATCAGTGGATAGCAAGGGCGTTCGAAACATGTGGACAGCATCCAATGCGCACCATGTCGACTGCGTTTGATGATCATCTCAAGTCCTTGCAGGAGAACCATATTTACGCGAATATGCTGAGCTCTTCAGCTCAACTTAAGTGGCGTAGATAAATAAAGATTTGCTTGGGTTAACTTAATGAGTCCATGAACAAGTTGCTCATCGCAAATGCCTCGGAAGAATTTTGGAATGCCTGACATTTGTGTACTTCCAAGTAAAAATAAAAATATGAAAAATGTTGCGAAATGGTGGACTTGAACTCGGGACTTTCAGGTCACGAATCGGGCGCTCTACCACTTGAGCTACAGATGTCTGGATCTATCGTAACAAGGTCAAATACGAAGGTACTGTTGGCCCCTATGTCCCTGTCATGCTAGAGCTCGTCCTCCTGCAGTGGTCTATGCAAGTCCGTCGGCATCTACAGCTTCCAACGACGCTGGACGACGAGCGAACCCAAATCCAGACCGTCCTGCGCCATCTTGGTCAACATCCCAGTTACCACGGTTTCTGGTCAAAATATCCCCTGCCCTTTTCGGTCAATCCGCTACTTCGTCGGTTACCGCTCAGGTGATACCATACTATTTATTGGTATTTAGGAACAAATACTGTACAGTAGTAGAATCACAAGGTTGATAGAACTGTAGGGTTAAAAGTCAAATACACCCCGATGTACAGTGAGCTACAGATGCCTTGAATAATCGGATCGTGAAAACACTGTAAACACAACCACCGCCCCCCCCCGAGTGAGCCCAATCAGCCGGATAACGCGAGAAGGCAATATTAAGTTAGAAATAATATCCGGTTAAAATTCTAATAAACCTCCATTGACAATGAGCTA